TGGTTGCGGTGCTAAAATCTTATTAGGAAGTCTGTTTAGTGTATTACTCAGCAGCTCAGCATATAAGCTGGTATGCTTCTAGGAGAGCACCAGTATGGCTGGGACTGTGCAGTGTTTCCGCTGTCCAAGAGGGATCCCATGTTTTACCTGTGTCTTCATTCCTAATCATCATAGAAAACTAAAAATCAGCAGGAAGGAATGATTTCAGATCAGCAAATTCCTTCCCACGTTTGTTTTTCTGCTGGAAAGGCATGCTGTGTTTAAAAAATGCGTTTAATCCATTGTTGGACTGAAGTTCTTTGAGGTTCATACTAAACAGGAGATTATCAAGTAACGAGTCTAATCAGGTTGGACTTTTCAAAGCCCTGAGTGCTTTACTGTGAATAAATGCTGCCATGCCTGATTTCCACATCTCCCAGCCCTCATAGTGCCTAACAAAAAGGCTTCTGGGAGGAGGTGAAGGTGATTTCCTCTTCTTGTGCTAAGGTGGGCATCTCCTTTGGGCTGGGCATTCTGTTCTCAGAGCTCTTGCTTTAATTCCTTGGACTCTTCAGGGCCTGGTACAAGGAGAGGGAGAAGTAATATCTGAAGGAGGTCAATAAGGATGCTTGTAGTCACACAGGCACTCAGGGAATGGGGAAGGACAGAAAATGCTTGTACTTCCCATCTGCTATTGCCTCTCAGTGCTTTGCCCTGAGAAGGAGCTGCTAAGGGCGTGTGAGCTAGAATTAGCAAATGCTGCTTACAGAAGGTTCCCCTTCTCCATATAAAGGAATTTTGAAGGGAAAATACTTTCCCAGCGACTCAAGAGGTTGTATCAGTCTGTTTCAGGCTTGCAAGAGGTTGCAAGCTGTCTAGCTTTTGCTTTGTTGTTGCAAAATGAGTGTTCCCAGTCTGTATCTTATCCAGGGCTCCAGCAAAGCAGTGCAGCACTTGGGGGGGCTGGCTGGGAACCAGGCTGACACCCACGCTCTGATGTGTGGTACACTGCTTCATGTTTTAGTGTTCAGGGCTTCCCACACACATCTAAATACCAGGGTCCTTAGTGTTAGCCCCATGCCCGTTTTTTGTCTTCAGTGCCATACCTGCAGCTCCTTTGATTTTTATCAGTGGAGTTGTTGCTTTGGTTGCTGGTGCATGGTTTGTGCATTAACAAAGTCTGGGTCCTTTTATCTTAAAGAATGTGAATGTTTTGCTCAGAGAGGCAAAAGCATGCAGGAAGAGGGAGTGTCTAGCTGGATTCCCAGCTGAGGCTTGGGAAGGACAGCCAAGCCCACCAGCATGTCTGATCTTTGCTCTCAGACAATTTAGTGTGAGGTTTTTGGTGCTGACTGTGGAAGATCAAGAATTTAAAAGGCTGAACTGCTGTGTATTGACTTCTAGACTTTATGAAGTATCTTCGAGACTTCTCTGAAGGCCTTACTGCCTCACAGATTGTTCCTTGTGAGTTTGGAGTGGCCCTGTGGGCTGTGAGGCTTTGCTTCCCCTGTGACCAGGCACTTGCCCCTTGGTGGCTGTGGGATTGTCCCTGTTTTTGAAGGTGGGGGCAGAGCAAGTGGCAGCCTGGTGTGCTTAGTTCAGTTGTGGGCCCCACACTGCAAGAAAGTCATCGGGGCTTGCAGTGTGTCCAGAGAAAGGCAACAGAGCTGTGTCTGGAGCACAAGTCTTATGGGGAAGACCAGCTGAGGGAGCTGGGGATGCTCAGCCTGGAGAAGAAGATGCTCAGGGAGACCTTATGGCTCTCTGCAGCTGCCTGAAAGGAGGCTGTGGTGAGGTGGGATCCGACTCTTCTCCCTGGTAAAAGCAGTAGGCCAAGAGGGAATGGCCTTATGTTTTGCCAGGGATTATTCAGGTCAAATATTAGGAAACATCTCTGAAAGAGTGGCACAGGCTGCCCAGGGAGGTGGTGCAGTCAGCATCCTTGGAGATGTTTAGGAACCATGGACTTGTGGCTCTGAGGAAAGTGGTTAGTGGATATGGTGGGGATGGGCTTGGACTGGATGGTCTTAGAGATCTTTTCCAGCCTCAGTGATTCTGTGATTCTAGAGGTGGTGGAACTGAACTCCACACAGAGGGAGCTTCGGTGACCCCGAGTAGGAATGCGCCATCCTTGTGGTGTGAGTAAGGGATGGATGGGCGGGCTGGGATGGGAGCTTCATCGAGGGAGTCACAGGCTCTGCCATATGCTGCTTTAGAAGAAAAGCAACTGAATAATAACCATGGGGACTCCTCTCTGATTGCTGACATAATGCAGATCATCAGCTCTCTGTTACTGGCAGAACAAACAAGCCCCGCATGCACAGGCTCCTCGCCCAGAGTGAATGAGCACAGTGCATGGGCTCTGTATGTAAGCCCTTTCCCGGGCCAGAGAGAGCTATTTATCTTACAAACAATGATGAGAGCCACCGGGAAATGCCTGGAGTGCCTGTGGAGAGCAGCTGATGTCTATCAGCAGTTTATGGTGTCCTGTCAGCCAAGGGAGCGCCTGTGCATTCAGGGTAAGAAGCAGCAGGCTGCACTGCATGCAGCACAGAGCCTCTGGTGGAAAGCAGAGACCACTCAGCTGGGCTGATGTCTCCATCATCTGGGCTTGGTTCTGCTCTCAGTGACTGTTTTCATCAGCTTGTGCAACCTGCAAGTTCCCAGCCCAAGGGAAGCATACAGAGGAAGGTTCCTTTTCATGGGCAGTCCTGTAACTGGAAAAACTGGAGCTCAAAGAGGCAGGATGTAAGGTAGAGAGCATTCTTGCTGGCACGAATCAACTCGTGTTCTGTACGAGGTGGGATCGTTTCCGGTTCCGCTGAGCACACGGTGGCATTGCTCTGTATGTGAGATCCTGTAAGCGAGGGGGGTCACTTAAAAGAGTGAACGTGTTCACATTGTCTGGAGACCATGGAAGGCTCAGGCATTCCCTGCCTGATGTCTCGTTGCAGGGTCCCACTTCTCCTGCCCATTCCTGGGGTAGGGGCTACTTAGGGAGGCTGTGGGAGAGAATGTGATGTGGTGTCAGCTCACGGAGGGGGTGTAACTACTGCTGCATTACTGCAGTCTGTTTGTGACTGTCTTAAATCTGTTGACTTCTTGGCTTTTCTTGTTTATTTTTAATGGAGGATGAAGCCCAACTCCAGACCTTTGGAAATCTGGATTAAAGTAAAATATCCCAGGAGACCAAACTGACTCTTCCCACGGCACTGTTGCATCTTTTTAGGATCTTTATTCCATCTTGGTCTGAGGGCTGTCTCAGATGGAGACAGAAGCCTGTGAATGCTTCCCGTTCATTTGCAACCAAAGACAGAGTCTCACATTCCTCACCATTAGAACCAGATATGCATCCTAAGCTTGGGGCTGCTCCATGATGGCCAAGCTCTTACATGCTTTGGCTGCTGTGCTAAACCAGCCAGAGCTTAGCCATGAAGTGAACCAGTTTAACAGCGTCTTGAAGTCACTGTCAGGCTTTTAATGTAAGATTCAGGGTCTCTTCATTTCTGCAGTGGCAGATTGTGGCAGATTTGTAGCAGCTGATTTGTGGTTTTTTTCTGTCTGGTGGAGAACTCCAGCAACTGGTGATAAAGAGGAAGGTGTTATACTGGGATGAATGTAGCCCTTCCTGCTGGGCAGCCTTGAAATCATCCCTGGGAAGTGTGCCTTGCAGTCAGGGGACTTTGGATGGTTGGAGCATCACGTGTATTTTGGGAGGTCCTTGCAGGGTGTGAGGTGAACTAAGCAGCCTGGAGACTTGCTGAGCACCCCATTGTTTAAGGGACACCAGAAAAACAATAGCTGATGTCCTGAGGAAGTGGCTGTGCTGAGAAAGAGGAGCAGAGTGTGTGACCTGTGGTGGCCCTGTTGTGGGGACAGCTGTGACTTTGAAACACCCCTTTCCTGGCCCATGCCCAACTCTGCAGCAGCACGGCGAGCAGTAGGTTAAGCTAGGTAATGAAGCACTGAATAAATCATTCGCTCAGCTCACAGAATCTGTTCTGTACGAGTGGATTGCAGTATTTGTGAGGAAACCTGGTACCTGGCTTACCTTATTGATTGTATGATGTGGTTTTAATGGTCTGCAAAGGGTGCACAGATAGCTTCTGTGCTGCTGCCTCTTGTTAAATGCAGGAGGACTGGGATACGTCTGTGAGGGTGGATGTGGGCTGCTGTGAGATAGACCTAAATGCTGCTCTGGGGTAGGGTGCATGTGCAGACTGGGGGCAAGGCCTCTTTTTCCACAGGAAATGCTTTCTAGTGAAGAGAAGCCTACCTCTTCAGTGCAGAAGGGGAAAATCAGCTGTGTTCTTCAAGCTGTCAATAAGTGGAAATAAACACGATGGGCTCCATTGGTCTGCACTTCCTCTTATGGGACATTAATAGCCACATTTTGCAAAGTAGCAGTGGTTCCCCCATTAAAGAGGGATAAAACAGAAACACAGTTCTTTCCTTTGTGGGATATGGGTTATGTCTCGGATGTTTTCCAGCCTGAGGGGTAAACATCTCTTAGGCAGAGCTGCAAAACAGCTTTGCTCACGTCAGGCTTTGAAAACAACTCCTCATTTAATTTTAACCAGAAGTTGGCACTCCCTGAGGAAAGCAGAGCTCTGTACTCACCCGGTTCTTTCTCAGACCCCCTCCTGGGAGAGCTGTGCCACCCTCTACAGCCAGCCCCCTTTGGATGAGTGTTGCACACAGGTAGCCTTGGATTCTGCTAGCCAAATGCCACCATCTGTGCTGCTTATTAAAATCATGCTGGGAGAAGATAGCAGCAGAGCAATCTCTGGCATGGGAGAATAATTGAGACCCTTCTGTTTCCCAGGAAGTTTGGAATGAAGGTCCTTTTTCTCTGTGGCGTCTGTGTTGAAGTTGCACTTGGTAACCACGTGGTACACAAAGATGGCACACCAAGCAGGCACCCTCCTCACCTTGTCCTCAAAACCCATCAGAAGTGACAGGCCCCAAGGCAGAGGCCTTGCAATCACCCAGTGCTTAGAATTGTTTCTTCCTCTTTGCAGGACCCTCCATTGTGACCCCTCCTAAGGACATCTGGAATGTGACAGGAGCACAGATCTACCTGAGCTGTGAAGTCATTGGCATCCCAACACCTGTCCTCATCTGGAACAAGGTGAGGACCTTGCCTCTTAATGTCTAGCAAAGTTAAGTTAGCTGAAACTGCTTAGTAAGCAACAGGACATAAAGTCAAAGGAAATTGCTCATAGAAATTCACATCTTTGATGAGGTCTCCCATCTGTGCAGTTCTTTCCACCCCTAAACATCTGGCTTTGCTTAATCTATCTTTAATCATCTCTTTTTCCAAACTTGTGTTGGTCTCAGCACGGAACGGGACTTGTGTTTTTCCTGGTATTCAGAGCGTGTAGGCAGTGTCCCTTGACCTGCTGTCACCCTGCTGACGGCAGTGACGGAGGCAGCTGGATGCAGCTGACCTAGCGTGAGGCACTGGAGCATGGGATAGTTATCTCTGATATAGCAGGCAGCGTGCTGATGGAGGCAGGGTGCTGGTAACACCTGGCTCTGAGCAGGGACCAGTCTTGAGCGGGGAAGATCCTGGTCACAGGACTCAAGAAACTGTGAGACCTGGGCTCAGACAGCAAGCAGCACAGAATAACTCACTCTGGGCACACTGCTGGTCTTTCGCTGACGCTGTGCCTGCCTGGAAGAATGCTAGGCTTGCTGCAGCGGAAATATGTGGGTGCTGTCCCTGATCTGCATCTAGGGTAGGTCATACAGGCACAGAGCATTCCTGGAACAATGCTCACACATTTGATTTTCTGCTGCTGCCACACTAAAATGATGGGATCATCAGGAAAGGTGTGTGTGGACCACAGTCAACTCCTGCTGGCCCCCAACCCAAGCCAGAAGGCAGCTGCTGCAGGCTGCCAAGCTGGATTCATGCATGGGTACCAGCAGCTGTAGGTGGCTGAATCCTTACTGAGTGGGAGCATCACTTAATGGCTTAAACGTGCCTATGGGAGTGTGCACAAATATTCTGTGATCAGTGCGGGGCGTGTTTGCAGTATTCAGCAGCAGGCACACCAAAAGTTGTGCTGCTCTTTCTGTTCCCACGGAGGCAAGGGGAAGACAGCCCTAGTGCACACATTGGAGCTGCACTACATACAGGATGAGATTAAATATCAGCACTAGAAAAACACTACTTCCATACAAAATGTAGTCATATAGATCTAATGTTGATCTTGTTGCTACAAGTTCTAGCGTAAATAAGACCCGAAACGCTCACACCTTTCTGACCTTCTGTTTAGATCATTCAAGGACAGTATGGTATCCAGAGAATGGAGCTTCTGCCTGGCGACCGAGAAAATCTGGCTATTCAGACCCGAGGAGGTCCTGAGAAACATGAAGTGACCGGCTGGGTACTGGTAAGTACTTGTGCAAACTGTTTGCAAACAGTGCAGTTTGCAAACAACCCATCTACAGAAGATGTATTGCAATGGATAGGTCACTTAGAGGAAAAGAATCTCTCTGTGTAGAAAGTCTGCAGAAGGCCTAAGACCTCCCCCAGTCTGAGACCTTCTAGCTTTAGCAGCTGTCTTTGCTCCAGTGACACACACCACCTGCTGCAGAATAACACAGTGCAGAAGCCATCAGCTGTCACAGAGCAAGTTTCTTAAGGTAGCAGAGTACCTGCAGCCCAATGACCAATTGCCACATGTTAAAGGGAAGCAGTAGGGAGGGAGCTGCTCTGCATCCCAGTAAGGGAATTGCAACAGTAAGTACCATGGCTCCCAGCTGCAGAGAATCTGGCTTAGGCAAGGCCAAGTGGTTCCTGCAACACATGCCAAAGCAGAGGGGGAAACAGGGAAGATTTTGAGCCAGTCATTTTGCAGAACTAACTGCCTAGATGCAGAATGTTCTTGGAAGGATTGTTTTTTTATTATTCCTGTTTCCGGACTCTTGCCAAGCGTGCAGGGTTCCAACATAGCTCCAAACTAAGTAAATACTATAAAAGAAAGGGAGTGTTACAGCATGCTCAGTCTGGCCTAGCAAACTGCAGCAATGGTAGGCTGAAGATCAGGAGCAGCTTGTCCCATGCTGCTGGAGAATACCATAATATGAACTAAACAGCTGTTCAGAACAGGCAGAGCAACTGTGCAATCAGTATGGTCTCTAAAGGTTAATAGATACTTTATCCTTTCTGCTAATCCCATTATTTAATTAGGAAATTAACAACTTACTTCTATCATGAGGTATCTCTGCTTCTTCACAGGATACTTACTGGGGAGGGGATGTTTCTTTCCCTAGATATCTCCTCTGAGCAAAGAAGATGCTGGAGAATATGAGTGTCATGCATCAAATGCCAAAGGAGAGGCAACAGCTTCTGCAAAAATTCATGTTGTGGAAACTCTGCATGAAATAGCCCTGACAAAAGGTAAGTAGTGTGGCTGAACATTCAGTAGCTCTCTCCTCTCTCAGCTTACTTAATTACTTGATCCAGAATGACCATTCCTATTTAATACTGTCAAATTCAGATGCAGCTTCCAGTAGGTTTGAGAGGACACTGCCAGCCCATCTCAGTTGCCAGAGTTCCCAGGGGGTTGTCAAGTAACCCAAAATGCTGTAAAGTACTGGAGATTAAGATGCCAAATGAAAAACAGCTTTTGGGTAGATTGTGGGTTTTTTTTCTATAGCACTTTTCATTGTTTTTCTAGCCCTTAATTAGTACCCTTTTTCCCCTGTTCTCAAAACACTTCCAAGCCTGCCCATTTCACCTGGCAGCAGGATTGACATAACCATCCCCAGAAAGAACAGGGAGTTCAAGCACTCCAAATTCTTTAGTCTTTCTTTAGTTTAAATGGAGTGGCTTTAACAGGAGGTTAAATCTGGGTCTTTGTATCCCTGAATAGCTGAAAGGCTTTCAGACAGTATTAACAACATCTGGTGTTGAATTAACAACAAAATGAATCCCAGCATCACTTTAAGCACAGCAGCCTTTACCATGGGTTTTTAGCTCTCTCTCTTTCCAGACATCATTCTTATGGCTAGTACTGAGTTGTGCCACAAATAGCAGGAACTTGTGAGCTAGAATTTAAGATACTTACTGAGAGGGAGAGCAAGGGTGGAGTGCTGCATGTGTTGCTTTGTGGTTTACGTCTTCTGTGCACACAGCTACTGCTGTTTCTTGTCAGCTATAGGAAAGCTCCCAAGTAAGCAGTCCGTAGCTAAGCAATAAGCTGGCAGGCCCCCTTTTTTGGAGAAGGAGCTGATAATATTAATGGATTATTTTCAGATGGAACAGGCTGCTCCATAGCTATATGCTACGCCCTTAGGGAGTCAGTGCCTGATTTCTCAGTGATCTCAACCCAGAAAAATGCCACCTACACCCTCCTGCTGCAATTGGAGTCCTCCTGTGGGAAGGGAAAGAAAGCATCCTCAGATAAGACATCAGAAAAGTCACTTCCCCAGCTGCTGTCCGAGCTCTGACATTAACCCTTGAAACAGTGTGCAGCCTAACATGTTTCTGTTTTTCCACAGATGATGGTGCAGAGCTGTGATCTGAGGACTTTCACTTATGCACCGTTTTAAGTTAGTATTTTGGAAAGCTGCAGCCTCAGGCTTTTTCTAGCTCACTAATCATTCTCTTACCTCCTTTATTCTTCGATTACCCATTTGCTTGCACACTTCCTTTGCAGATATACAAATAAAGAGATTCACGAGTTCAATTACAAATTTTAATTCTATTTACAGGAAATAAACATACTTTTAAAGAGCATACAGCTGATGAGTAAGACTATTTTAAACACAACCTACACGAAATTAAACAAAATCTGCATACTTCAGTCTCACATTTTAAAAAAACCTCTTTAAGAAGCTAAACACTCATCATCCGAGGTGCAATACTCATAGACATCAGCTCTTGGAAGAGGAGTTTGCAGGCGTAGGGCATTCGAACCAAAGATATCTGGGAAGAGATTTCAAGAGTTGTGAGTGATTGATAAGCACTCCTAAAGCATCAACTAACTACCCAGCTTGAGTCAAGTTTTTTGACTGATTTTTGGATGTTTGGAAGTTTTTTTGAATGACTCTATCAAACTGAAAGAGGGTGCATTTAAGTTGGATATAAAGAAAAAAGTGTTTTTACAGTGAGGGGGGTGAGATGAGGCAATTGCACAAATCTCCCAGAGTTGGTGGAAGCCCCATTCCTGGAGACATTAAAAGCCAGGCTTGATGGGGCTCTGAGCAACCTGATGTAGTTGTTCCTGTTCAATGCAGAGGAGTTGGACTAGATGGCCTTTAAAGGTCCCTTCCAACTCTGTGGATTCTATGATTCTGAATCAGGCATGAGAGCATTTAACACGGATTGGTTAAGGACAGCAATAAAGCAAGAGGAAAGCAGAGACAGGCTATAGAGTCTACAAAACAGCTATCCAGAATTAACTTTTTCAACAGGAAAAAAAAAGGCAGCCAGGGGATTTGATCTTCAATAAAAATAATTTAAACAGGGGCACATTTGCACAGCAAAGCATGCCTCCTATGCAGTAACTACAGTTAAGATTTCCAGCATATGTCCCTACAAGCAGCAGTCAGTTCCCAGCACACCAACAAACCTATTTAAAGTGATTCTTTTTATCTCTGCTGCCAATCTGCCTTGACACAGCTCTTTAGCTATGCACACACTATAGAACAAACACTATAAATAATACTGTACGAAAAAAAGCACATGCTATAAATAATCATGAAAAGAAGTGCTACACAAAAGACCTTCCCATGGGAACCCCAATCTCAGGCATAAAGTATCTGCATGGGGACAACCACAGTTCTAAATTCCAGCAATTTGGAGTCTTACTGTTTAATATTCTAAAAATAAGCTCTCCAACTGCTCACTTTTGAAATCTCTCCACTGCAAAATAGTTGAGCAGCATTTCCTGCCAAGTGACGGTCCAACAGTCTAACAGGAAACATCCGAATCAACTAGGACACTGTAAACAAGTAAGTAGCTATGAAGCTAAAGAAGCACTTGTTCTCATGTTTCTTTAAACATTTTCATTTAAACATAACTAACTTCTCCCTTCTGCTGTTCACGGGAGTCATATTTCCTCTGAGTCACTGAATGGTGAAGCCCACACTTACCTGTGTTTTATTTCGGCATCCTCGGCATTCGTACGTGTGAGTCCTTGTGTTTGCAATTGCCATGATCCCACAGAGGTTACACACGTGGACTTGGTACGGGTCTGATGCCTCAAACAACCTCTCTCTCAAGAACTGGGCTGCTCCATGGGCAATCTGACAATCTCGTTCCATTTCTCCAAAACGAAGGCCACCATCACTAGGTACAAAAAAAAAAACAAAACAACTTGAGTTCTCTGGCACCATACATCAGTGCTTGTTGCTACAACAAGTAACCTGACAGAGACGGAACAGCAATATTCCAAGGCAGGAGTAAATCTGGGCATTAATTTTCCCCCACAAATAGAAATGTTGTAAGTAAATGCTAACACAACATTGTTAACTGCTGGGGGCACATGGCTAAGTATTGGTAAAGCAGCTATCAGATACCATACAGATAGAGCACAACACTATATAGCAAAGTGATGAAAACCATTAAATCATCCTCTGCTCCTCTATGCTGGTTTTGACACAGAGACAATCACATACCCATTACTATGATAGGTAAGACAGACCCAACTTGGCAATTTTTTTTTTTTTTTTTTCCAAAACAGCAAGACAACAAGAAACTATGACAACACTGAAAACAATTTCTTCCCTCCTATCCCTTCTTCTCTGGCACAACATCACTCCTTTGCTTCTGGATTTTCTTTATACTTCCTCCTCCTCTACAAGTAGAACACTTGGTTTCTGCTTCTCCTTCCTTCTCAGACTGTTCCAACATGCATCTTCCCAGCAGACCTCTGTTCTCCACTAGCTGCTGTAGCATAGCTGCCTTCCGTGGGGCACAGTCCTTCTGGAACAGACTGCTCCAGCAGCCACAGTTCCCGACAGACTACACACTCCAGTGTGGGCTTCTCTCCACAGAAGCAGCAACTAAAGACTCCAAAGGGAAGAGTGTATAGAAAATAATAAACATCCTTACCGAGATCTTCCTTCCATGGGCTGTCTGTTAAGTATCTGGATGGGCCCTCTTGCACGAGAATGGATTTTGTCATCTACCATGTGCTTCAGCCGCTGATAATATGTAGGACCAATGAAGATCTGTGATGTGATTTTTCGCCCAGTGAAGCCATTGTAGAGGACCTAAAGCAGTCAATGCAGTCACTGAACCATAAGCCTTACTGTCTGCCAAACGTATTAAAAATACAATGAATTGATGTTTTGGTTGTACCTCATTTCCTCTTAAATGATAACCATAATCTGATAGAAGATTGGAAATCTTCTGCACATTGACAGCATCATTAAATGGTGTAGCATCACCAATTTCTCCCTTATTTGCCGACACCTACAGAGAAAAGATTTGCAAAAACTTGTCAGATTTCTCAGCATCAAGCAATACATTTCAAATAATTTTAGCTATAATTTTAATGCCAGAACTTGAGATTCCCTACCCATGATAGTGCCGTATCTTCTTTCGTTATCAGCTACAAAATTTAGCTGAGGTTTTCAAAACTGGACAATATCAACAATTTTCTACTCCTTTTTCTAGGTTACAGGATACATTTGGAATAAAAGCAACAGATATTTGCTGGACAAAATTTAGAAGATCGTAGGTCCTCCAAGAAACTTTTCTATTTGCCATTACGTAAATGGAGAAGAACTGTTGTTGTTTTTTAACTGCATTAGCACTTACCACTTACGTGTATTTAATGCTTGCTTGTGTATATTTACAAAAATATATATATATATATGTATACACGTATATTAACTCATATCCCTTAAAACATGCAGCATAAAACATTCTTCTTACCTTCCCCTGAAGACATTCAATCAAGTGACCAATGGTCATGCGGGAAGGAATGGCATGGGGGTTGATGATGATATCTGGTGTGATGCCTTCACAGGTGAAGGGCATGTCCTAGAACACCAAAACAGGCAGTCAGTACTTCCCAGCACACCAGCTTTACAAAAAGCAGTCCACAGATTCTAACTGTATCTTTAAAGTATTTCAAGGGCCCTGAGATACCACGGTAAGGAACAGTAGCATCCCTTTCTGAACACATTCTACCCAAATTTAAATCCACATTTTGCATGCCAGTACATGTTCCATAGATTACTTACTCGCGTTGGTTTCAATGCTAAAAACACAGAGAAGATGAAATGCTAATAAAGTATTATAAAAAAAAAAAAAAAAAGAATCACTACCTCTTGCCTGTACTGGATACCACAGGTTCCTTTCTGACCATGTCTGCTGGCAAATTTATCTCCTATTTGAGGGATTCTTACAGACCGTACCTGTGAACCATAGGAAAACATTAAATGGGAAAATTAGATACAGAAAAAAGTTGTTAAGTAGAAAACACGTACAGGTTGGTGCTCACCCTGATCTTGCAGAATTTGTATCCTTCCTGGTTAAGAGTTACCATGACCTGATCTACAATACCAGTCTCGCTAGTTCGCAGAAAAGTGCTACAGTCTCTCTTGGTGAAGCGCCTGTTAGTGCTCTCCAGTTCATCTTCGTTTTCTGGCAGAGTTACTGTTTTGCCAATGATGACATCATCCCCAGACACACGTACTCCAGGTGCAATCAAACCATCGTCATCAAGTTTGTCATAGATTGCATGTCTCATACCTCAGGGGACAGAAAAAGTTAAAAATAGATTCCCAAGCTTTTCAACATCAAGACTTGGATGTTCTGTAGAAATTCAACCAGTCTGCTTACAGTTTTAGCCTGTCGATAATAAAATGTCTGAATATGAAGTGAACATCTCAGCTGATGCATCTTCCTATGAACACACACATTTCTGCTATTCAATGTGTCTCAAAGATTGAATCAGCTCAACAGCAATCATCTCTACACAAATGTAAAATCAGTGAACTCAGTCTCCATACCCTGCTTTATCTTACCTTGGCAAGTCTCACGGGTGGGCTTCTCGAAAACTTCCTCTTGGTCATATCCTTTTTTGGACTCCTGCTCTTTGTAGGAGCGATAGAACACAGATCTGAAACAAAGACAGATACGTTCTCTGTGAAACCAGCATCATTTTCCCTCATCCGTACATGCCAGTTTCATTTAAAGCACCATTCTGCCAAGTGTTAAAGCTACTGTCACTGATGACAACCAAAACAATTCACATGCCACACAACCTTTCCTTTAAAGTATTGTTAATCTGACTGAAAAAAAAATCCACAACAAACAAACACATAAATTTCAGATGGCATTTTAATGGTCACTTCTTAGACACTGCCAAAATACCTATAAAATAACATGCTTTATTTTCAACTGGGGAGATGTCCCCATCTACAAAGCAGTTATTGCTCTTAAGGCCGATTCCCATCTTAGAATCAGGGAACCGTTTGAGTTGGAAGGGACCTTTAAAGGTCATCTGGTCCAACTCCCCTGCAATGAACAGGGACACCTACAGCTACATCAGGGTGTTCAGAGCCCTTGATCTTCATCAAATCAATCTCCTATTACTTTTCTTAACTCCACCCTTTTGCAAGCACTTTTACTTCTGCTATCTTGCAATGCTGAGTTTCAATGGAAATCTTTCCATTTTTATAGACTTCTTTCTGGGCCCTTGGATATTTCTGCTATGCTGCTAGCACACTAAAACCACAACCTTTAAGAACAGTATCATTCACATCTAATTGCTCCCATGAATGCAGGAGATTCCTCCAACCACAAAAATCTAAGTCCCATACTCACTCTACATAAGAAGGTGCAAGACGTTTAGTACACAAGTTTTAGGTTCAAAAAAATGAATAAAAGCAGAAATCTGTTGACCAGTTAAGGTTATACAGCTAAGCAGTCACCTAAAATCTAGCAATAATGCACAGTCACATCAGCCACCAGTTGTCTCAACAGCAGTTCCTAATAAGGAGAGGAACATGCCAATCCTCACTCATAGCAACTGTTGTGCTACTGAATACACCATTTTATTACAAAGCTACAATATTGTCATTAAGGAGTTCACATAACTGGCAAGTCACAGAACAAAAACTCAGAACATGTTTTCATTTAACCAGCATAAACAGAACAAATAATATAAAAGACAAGACCAAAAGGGAAAAGCCAGGGATGCGCAGTGCGGAGTCAAGCTACACAAAAGATGAACGATAACTGGCTGAGTTCTGCTAAGACACACATTCACCATTCCTCTGAATGTGAATTCTTCAGTCTGAAAATCCCTCCACCCCCATTTTTAAGGATACCTTGCAGTGCAAGACAAACTTTCCTTGAGCCTCTGGACAACTCACTATAGTACTTCATTCAGTTTTCAAAGAGATCAAAAATTTGAGAAATCACACCTGAAAAAGCCTCTGTCGACAGCAGAACGGTTCATGATGACAGAATCTTCCTGGTTATAGCCTGTATATGATGCAATGGCTACGATTGAATTGATACCTGTAATACATTGAGTGAATACTTTTAAAACATGAACACATATCAGACAGGCATTACTTACAACTAAAATAAGCCCGTCTCTTCACAGTGAACCTGCTCGACCCTTTCCTAAGATAGAATCTCCACATCCCATGTGAAAAGCCATGCTGTATCAGTAAATGCAACTCCGGGCACAAAGAGAGATTAAATTTGTCAACTCAGGAGTGACCTCTTGTGGAGAACCCACACAGGAAACACATCCTTTCCAGTTTTCATTTAAGCCTACTTACGTGGAAAAGGAGTTCTGGCTGCAACATTAGAAACACTGTAGACTAAGCACCAAGCCAACATTTAACCCAAAATTCCTTTTTAAATTGCATAAATTTGCTAAATATTTAGGTATGATGCAAACATTTATGACAGTTTAAACTAAACATTAAACAAAAAGAATGCTAACTATGAACTGACAACGTACCTGCTGGTAACTCTCTAAATCGCAAGTACTCCATGGAGCGTGTTGTTACAAGGGGCTTCTGAGGATAGTACAGAACATGGGCCAGTGTGTCCATACGAACATGGAAGTTTGTAATGTAGACTCCCATTGCCTGTTTACCCATAGCAGACTGGTAGGTGTTCCTAGGAGACTAGACAGGCAAGGAAAGACAGCAACATAGACATTTATATATGCACATGTGGCTCTTAATGCATATACCTGTGGGTTTCCTATCTATCTTATAAGCAAGATGGCAGAAGTGATGCACTGACCTGGTTGTGATCGGGGAAAGGAATAATAGAGGCACACACTCCCAGGATCATGGAGGGGTGAATCTCACAGTGGGTATATGTTGAACAATACGCAACACCTTTCTCCTGCAAGTCATCTGGAGTCATGGCCAGCATCACAGTCTCCTCTTCCAGTGTATCGATGTACTCTACTACACCACTGGCCACAAGGTCCTGCCAACTAATAATCAATGTTGGAAGTACTTAACATGCACATAGAATCGGTCAGTTCAAGTAACAAGAACAAGGATTTCTCTGCCTTATTATAACTACAGCTGCATTAGTTATATCAAAAGTGAATTAAGTTGCCACGCAGCAAAAGCATCTTTGCATTGCTCAAAGCTTTAAACATTTTCTCCTTCAATTTAAAGGAACTTGCAGCTTCCCAGCTGGAAAATTAGATACTGAGTTACATTTCAGAATTGTCTCTCACCTGTAATTGTTATACTCTCGTTCCTTCAGTTGGTCAATATGCCTTTTCTTCAACAGCAACTTCTGCTTCTCCACAATTAGAAGAGGTCGGCAAATTCTGCCTGCATCAGTATAGATGCGGATTTCCCGCTCACGAATATCCCTAATCATTGAGACCTGCACAACAAAGCAAAGTCTCAGCCTGGAATCAGAACTACAGAGTACAAAATAGGATAACAAAGTTCCCAAATTCAAAGGCTCTCCACGTGTTGCCAGCAGAACAGAACAAACATTAACACTCATACAAAAAAAAACATTTCAAGAGATAATTAAGTCTTTTCAATAAGCTTTTTTTCAACTGGTTCCTCTTAACAAATGAACCAAAAAAAAAAAAAAAAAAAGTGTGCAAACAATGCTGTTTAGAGTCTTCAAAGCAGTCCCAATATACTGCCCTCCCTCATCTCCAAAGATCCGCGAAGTCTTGAAGCTGTACCTCCGACACAATTATATCCATCTGACGACGGAGCTTCCTTAGGGTATTCATAAGCTGCTCTGGATCTTTGTGTATTCCTACCCAGCAGCCATTAACAAAAATCTTGGTAGCACTAGAAAGAGGAAAAAAAAAACAAAACAAAA